TCCCTCTCCCCAGAATAGAAGAAGCCCTGGAGGCTCTAGGGCAGGCAAGATACTTCTCCACCCTTGACCTCACCTCTGGTTATTGGCAGGTGGAGGTGGCGGAGCATGACAAACACAAGACGGCATTCAGCACCCCTATGGGGCTGTTTGAAGCAAATCGTATGCCCTTTGGACTGCAGAATGCTCCCTCCACCTTTCAGAGACTCATGACCTGCTGCTTTGGCGACTTGAACTTCACCCACCTCCTAATCTATCTTGATGATCTCATCATATTCTCCAAAACCTTTGATGAGCATCTGGAAAGACTGCAGCTGGTGTTCGATCGGCTTCGGGAGCATGGCTTGAAGTTAAAGCCTTCTAAATGCCACCTAGTGAGAAAGGAGGTTCAGTATTTGGGTCACTTAGTGTCTGCTGAGGGGATCCGGACAGACCCAGAGAAGATCAGCAAGGTGAAAAACTGGGTGAGGCCCACAAATCGCAAAGAAGTGTTGCAATTCCTGGGATTCGCTGGATACTATAGGCGGTATGTAAGTGGGTACTCTACCCTAGCTGCTCCCCTGCACCGCCTAACTGCTGGTGACCCCAGAAAGAAAAGGAGAGGGGGAAAGAAAAGTCTGGCTACCGACCCACCCTTTTTGTGGACAGATGAATGCGAGAAGGCATTTAAGACCCTAAAAGAAAGGCTGACAAGCGCTCCAGTGCTGGGATATCCTGACTATAGCTTGCCCTTCGTTCTGCAGACGGACGCCTCAGGGGAGGGTCTGGGCGCCGTTCTAGCTCAGATCCAAGGTGGAGCTGAGAGGGTCATAGCCTTCGCCAGTAGAGGTTTGAGCCCAGCAGAGACAAGGTATCCTGCACACAAACTCGAGTTCCTTGCTCTTAAATGGGCGGTCACCGACAAATTCTACGACCACCTCTATGGGCGTAGATTCTCTGTCCAGACAGACAACAACCCTCTCAAGTATGTTATGTCATCAGCGAAGCTGGATGCCACAGGCCAGCGGTGGGTGTCTAGGCTGGCTGCTTTCGATTTCGATGTCCAGTATCGGAGGGGACAGAGCAACACAAACGCTGACGCCCTCTCTCGCATGTCTAACCAGGAGGTCATGCACATCCTACAGACATGCCCTCAGTGGGTGGGTGTCGACGAACAGGGGCATGGTGCGACACAGGCTACCCAGGATACTCAAAGCCTCACTGGCCATGGCACGCCTACAGGGGAGGAACTGGAACTCGCGCCACCTACATCCACTGAGCCTTACAGGGATGTGGGGATGGAATCCCTGCCCACCATGACCAAACAGGAGATCCGTGCAGGGCAGAAAAAAGACCTCGTTATTGGCCCTGTCTTGCACTATAAGAGTATGAACCAGAAGCTGAGCCGCAGTGAGCGAATGAGTGCCGAAGGACACGTGCGCCTTCTCTTAAAGGAGTGGAGAAGGTTAGCGGTAAGGGATGGCATCCTGTACCGCTGCGTCCAAGACAGCCAAAGGGGAGTAGTTGAGCAATTGGTGCTACCAGAGGATTTGCGTATATCAGTGAAGACTGCTCTCCACGATGACTCAGGCCACCTTGGTTTTGAGAGGACATTGCACATGATAAGGGAGAGGTTTTATTGGCCACGGATGTTCCAGGAAATCAAGGCTTGGTGCGAACAATGTGAGAGGTGCTGCCTTAGGAAAACTCCAACCGCAGGGGTCAGGGCCCCCCTGGTCAGTATCCACAGCAGTGCCCCCTTGGAGCTAGTTTGTGTGGATTTTTTGACTCTTGAGAAATCAAAAGGTGGTATCGAAAATGTCCTCGTGGTCACTGACCATTTCTCACGCTATGCGCAAGCATACCCCACTAAAGACCAAAAAGCCAGCACAGTGGCTAGGGTGCTGTATAGAAACTTTTTCTGTCGGTTTGGCTTCCCAGCAAAACTGCATGCAGACCAAGGGCGCAATTTTGAAAGTGCTGTGGTGAAGGAGCTGTGTAAATGCACCGGCATCACTAAGACCCACACCACGCCCTATCACCCACAGGGCAACGGGACAACTGAACGGTTTAACCGCACCCTCATGAACATGCTGGGGACGCTAGAACCTCACCTGAAACCCCGGTGGCACGAATATGTGGATGCAATGACACACGCCTACAACTGCACCCGCCATGATTCGACAGGGTACACACCATACTACCTGATGTTTGGCAGGCATCCACGGCTCCCTGTCGACTTGGTCTTTGGGCTGTCAACCACTAATGGGTCGGGGGATATAGCGATTATGTCCAGACCCTGCATGACTGCTTGTCACAGGCTTACGCACAGGCTAATCAGGCCTCTCGCCAGGCTAAGGGTCACCAGAAAAGATACTATGACCGACAAGCAAAGAGTCAAAGCTTCAGCCCGGGTGACAGAGTCCTGGTTAAAGTGTGTCATGTGGAGGGGCGAAGCAAACTAGGAGACAAGTGGGAGTCACGTCCATACATTGTGGTGAAGAAACAGCCAGACATGCCGGTGTATGTGGTGCGATCGAAAAATGGTGATACAGAGAGAGTGGTCCACCGCAACCTACTCACGCAGTGTATGTTTCTTCCCGTGGAGCAGGTGGGAGAGGAGGCAAGAGAGGAAATGGAGCTTGACGTGGAGGAGGTTCATGGAGGAGGGATTGAGGACAGTGGAGAGCAGGCTGGTGAAGTAATCAGACAGGATGAAGAGTCGGACATGATCGAGGACGGGGAGACTGATAGCCTGGAAGGAGGTGTGGAGGGAATTTCACCTGAAGCAGCAAATGGATCACTTGCCCCCACAGGACCGGAGGAAAGGGACCCAGGGGCAGCACAAGAGAGTGAAGATTGGAGGGGGAATGAGACTGCCAGGGTCACCCACTCACCTCCCAGACCAAGAGAACCAAGGAGGAACTTGCCGAGGAGTCGGCATCCCCCAAAGAGACTGACTTATGGGTTGAGAGTTAACGAACCAGGGGAGGATCAGGAGAAGATAGAAAGGGGATGGAAGCTGTGGCAGAGGGCCAAAGCAAGAAGGGCTGAAGGAAACACATAGGATACACACATAGACATTTTCACATTACACTGCACATCTTCCACCACCATTATTCTTGTGTACATAGTGAGACTGTTCTGTTTTATTTTGTTTTGTTTGATGACTGGGACGCCATCACTTAAAGGAGAGGCGGATGTAAGGTAGTGACTGGAATAAGTCACAAGGTGTCGCTGTTGAGCTGCATATATGGTGTAAATGTTAGCAATTTTGGCCATTCGTCCTCTGCAGGACACCGTACTTTAGATTTCTTGTTCGCGCGGGCGCCATCTTGGGTCAGTGTTTGCTGTGATTTGCGAAGGTAAGCACTGCCAGTGGCGAACTGCATCAGTTTTGTGTTGTATTCATCGCGGAGACCGTGGAATGTTGTAGAAGGCACGGTTATTGTTACTTAATGTGTATTCTGTGTATATGTGTTGTTGTATTTTGCAATGTTGATAGTCACGGAGTGTTTGCTGTGATTTGCGAAGGGCCAGCAGCAGAGTTGGAGTGGTGTTTGCCCCTGCTTCCGAATAAACGGCGCGGTCCGAGCCACAAATTGAACACCTGTGTCCGACTGGTCTCTCTGCGGTGCACCCCAATCCAACACAATTTAACACAACGCAGAGTCCGGGGTGTAGGGAGGCCCTGCACTGGTTGGGTTACATATACATACGAAACAGATTTTTACCTGGCAGGAGAACGAACAATAGTCTTTTTTAAGGCTACTGCAGAAGGAGATATTCCCCGCTAGCTCACCCAAGCTTGCTCTCTGGCACAGCTACAAGCCATGTGAGCTCATAGCCCACATGTACTACCACAGTCGACTGTCGTAAAGCAGCCGCAAACCAATAGCAAGTAAAAAAAACAACTCAAAATCATTGAAGAACATTTTATAACACCCAATATAGATATATACATATATACTGAATATCACACAATATCAGATAACCAAATTAACACTGGGTTACAAATTCATGGATTTTTTTTTCACATTCTGTCTCTCACAGTTGAAGTGTACCTCTGGTGCAAATTACTGACCTCTGTCATCATTTTAAGTGGGGGAACTTGCACAATCGGTGGCTGACTAAATACTTTTTTGCCCCACTGTAAATACAGGCCATTTTACCATCGTCATCAGTGTTTTCCATGAAAGAATTTAAAATTTCAGTTTGATTGATTACTTTACGTCACTTCATTTTAAATGAGCTTTGGCACAGAAGAGATGGTGGTGTTTCTGGATCATGTTCACGTATGGCTTCTTCTCTGCACGGTAGAGCTTCAGCCTGTAATTGTGGGTGGTACAGTGAAATGTGTTCACAGCCGGTGATTTTCATGTGACAGTGAATTTCATGACAGAATCACATCTGTTTTCACTTCAGTTCACAGACATCCAATACTGATTGTCAGACTTGTCCCCTGCACACACAGATTTCTCCACATTCAATTTTATGTTGAGGAATATTATTCTGAATTGTTCCATAATTTGTACAGGCAGGTTTTTGCAGATTGGTAAACCTCCATCCACCTTTGCTTCTGAGAAGCTCTGCTCCTCTGAAACGCTCGTTTTACACTCCAGTCATGTTACTGATCTGATGCTGTTTAACCTAACCTTCTTTTTAGCACTACCTACTTTTCCTGGCTTTTGTTGCCCCGTCTCAACTATTTTTAAACCAGGTGCTGCCATCAAAGTCAAAATGAGCTTTTATTTTTCTTAAAATGGCACACTGACTCAGCTTAAACATTTGATATGTCATATATGTTCTCTTGTTTGCAAATCATTGGATTCTGGTTTTATTTACAAATGACACAGTGTCCTTTTTGGAACTGCAGTTTTATTCTTCCTGGGCACATTGGGCATTGGACTAGCTTTTAATGATTTTTTCCCCACATTTTTCTTAACTATTACACCGCTGTTTTCACTCCGTTGGGCTGTAGCTCTGCTCTGAGTCGACATAATGACACACGACACCAGAATAAATCAGGTTAAGGCGAGTAAAAGATTTATTTCACATTTTGTTAAATATCACCAGCTTTGTATGAGGAATCAAAGACATCAAAGAGCAGGTCACAGGAATAGTTAAGAAGGCTCATATGCACAGAGGGACAAAGGAAGGGGGGTATCTCCAGAAAAACCCCATAATGAATAACGCTGCATCACGTCTGCTGATGGTTTGTTGTGAGTGCTGTAGTTTGTTGTTGTTGTTTTTCTACAGGGTGGATGGAATTTGCTGGCTTTGTTTGTTCAGCCAACCATAAACTCAAACACTTTTAGTGATGGTTCAAAAAGTGACATTATTATTCAATCATTACTTCTAGAACTGCACATAAAACCTGCACTGGGACTGAGGGTCAGACGGGAGAGGGACACCACAACGAGGGAAGAAGCGCTGCAGGGACAACACGAAGCACACACGGACACAGAGATAAGCAGAGGGATCACCTCAACAGTCTGAGCTCTGATGCTGTGTTTTTACACCCGGCTTTACCTGAGTCAAGTTTGCAGTGAGGACATAACTCAGGTAAGGGGAACTTTTAAAATGAAAGGTTTTCGGATACACTTGAACACAATGCTGACCCCTGTTAATGAGCGCAGATGATGCCTTGAACCGATGACCTGGTCCATCTGACCTCTCACCTCCGGAGCAGGCGGGGGAGGGAAAGAGGGATGAGGGCTGAGAGTGTCAGAGTCACAGGCACTTGCGATAAAATGACAAAAACGTTACAATTTCCATTAAGGCACAACAGATAAACTACACTCACAAACATCTTTGGGACAAGAACAGCATGATTCTTGTAGTGGGCATAAAGAGCTGCACACAGAGGACTGTGCAGCAGGTTGGCTTTCACATCTACACCCCCGACAAATGATTTTACCCGGACAAATGATTGCTGATGACACTGCTTGCTGAGCAGCCAGTACTTAAACCTTTGTTGCAGCGAGTCAGTTTTTCAGCAAGAATGTCATTTCTTTAAAGTTTCTCTAAAAGACAGTTTCCTTTTTCCTAAACAAATCAAAACAGTTGTTACAAGGACGCCTTAGAGCCGGTGGGATCGTGTTTATCTGAAGTGAGAATGTGAAAAGGTAAAAATACACAAGTGAAAAATGTGATTACCTTAGCAAAACCACCATGCATGTGTTATCTAGTGTGAGGAAAATACATTCAAATGCTTCCGTCATACTGATCGATAGATTACCACACTAGCAGCTGGACACCACTACATTTCCATTAAAAGAATAAGGCTGACTCTTCTCATTCTTAGGATGAGTTTTTCTTTTTGTCTGTCAACAAATCCCACAAATTCTAACAGTGAACTGGTCTGTCTTACCACTTCCTGGCTTATGTACGTGAGCCTAGAGTTCCTGTTGAAGAGAAACTACAGGAAAAAACTAGATTGTTTGAGAAGTCACAAAAAGCTAAGCTGCATTCACCTTCTAGCCCCACTTCTGAGCTCTTATTAATAAAACGTGCACACTTTTATCTATGGATATGAAAAATTTGGTATACTTGAAGATTAAAAATATAGAAAACATAACTATTTGTTGAACATCTGTACCTGCTCTGTGTTCAGTCTGGATAAACTTTAACTCTTTACTCCATAAAGAGACACTGACGACATCCCCTTTGTAGCCTTGATGATGAGTTTTGACACCTCAGCATATATCAATAAAGTTGTGGTTTGAAGACAATCAGAACAGTTTCTGGGTTTTTCTAAGTCTAGTTGCACAGGGAGAGACCACCCGCACTAACTTATGATGCACACCAGTCGTTTTGTTCTATAAGCCTGAAGCATTCAAGGTCACTCCTGGTCGATTTATACAAGCGGGTAAAGAGTTAAAACAACAAGTAACTATAACTGAGAAGTGTTTAATAATTATTTATAATAATCATTATTGTCACCATTAGTTTATGGATTACCAATTAAATTTATGGGTTCAGTACTTAGACTGGCACCGTCTTAATTTTTGGTGGCCATATTTGGTAGCCCGTGTTTGCTGATACCTAAGACTTACTATAGTTTAAACAGAGGATTTATATGAAAGGAGTCACCATGAAGGAGACAATTAGCTATACGAATTCAGTAATTTCATATTAGGGCACATAATTTGCACTTTGGGATTTAAATAAAATTAAAATTTAAGAGAAACAACATTGCCCATTTCACGCAGTACCAACTCACTTTAGGTGCTCTTTTCTCTTCTGAAGTCACTGGATTTCGTCAAACAGCTACGGCTGCTTGGCCAGAATAAATTGGCACCTAAAATAGGCAGCGGTAATTAGACACACAGTGTAAACTCATGCACACGCGCTCGCAACTTTGTACAGAAACTTTGATGACCACACGCTCACGAACGCATGCTCACCGAAGCATGCGACACAGACGAGGCTCATACACACAGTAAGCATGGCGACTTTTATAAACTCACATATAATCGACACAGTGGATTTCATTGGCATTGTATGGGATAGTAATAGTGACAGAGAAGGTTTCCCCTTACGAACTGATTCTGATCTTTTTTCCTTCATTGGTTTCACAATCTGAGTCTGCATGTTTTAAACTGAAGTTAGGCTTTCGTCCCTCCTCTCAAACACCTTTCAGTCAGCCCTTCTCACCTGCTTCATTCTCTCTTTCGTTTGTGGACAGAGTAACAGTGTGTTAGTGTTTTTGCATGAGCTGAGCAGTCCTTCTCACATCACGGTGTTTCTCAAAAAACAATGTATACCCTATGTAGGTCACTACTCTGTAGTTTGGGCCCATAAAGCACTAGAAGTACACAAGTGTCTATTGAGACGTGTTCCCTTGAGATGTGGAGGAGTGAGACGACAGGGTGGTTTAACTCCGGGGGATGATGCCCTTCTTGTAGGCCACCAAGCCAGCTGCGGTGGCAGCAGACAGGAATGTGGAGACTCCTAAGAATTTGAGGAAACCATCAACCGAAGGCAGGTTTCTCTCCCAGAAGGTGGTAACAAACGGGAGTGCCCGGATTTCCTGCAGGACGGAGGGAATGATGATATCAGATATCTGCCTTTTTCATGTGCATGATATTAACTAGATACTTGATAGATGATTTGGCAATATACAACTTATGTAATCTTGGGTCCAAAATGTGTAAACAATGCAAAGGTGTCTTAAACCTGCATTTTTTTACATGACCAGCAGGGGGCAACTCTTCTGCTTGAAAATGATTGTATAGAAAGCGAGGGAGAAAATGACCTCTCTTGGTTTACAACCCCAAGAAACATTATGGTCTTGCCTGGTAGTTTTTTTTCTCATTTATTACAAGATGATCTTTTTCACAGTGTCATTTATGGTAAAAAGTGTTTTGGATTCATGACGAGAGACTTCAGAGTGTTTCTCCACTGATTGTTCGTTTTTTTAATCAAAGGCCAACTTGTAATTTGGTGCATAAGGACTTCTCTTACATCGTTCTCAGGCTCAGGTTGCCAGATCTGATTAGGTTGGAGTTTACCCATCGCACACATGACCTGCGAAAAGACATTGGTGGTGTCAGTCAAAGACTTCAAAAGGATCAAAATACAGTCTAACAGTCTAAATTTTAAACATGATACACATTTTTGAGTTTGGGTGATGTTAATAAGATAACTCTTTATTATCATTGCACAGTCATACATAGTACAATAGCACAATGAAATTGGGGAACTGTCCCACGTTGGCACTACATACAACACGACACGACACATCAACTTAACTTAAGTAATTAAAAAGAAGAATAAGTGTATGTTTATGTTTAATGCACTCAGATAATCTACTCAGGCTTGACTGGCCTTTACTGCAACTGACCTACTCTGCAGCAGAGCCAGAGCTAAGAAACATGGAGGAACATGAACACATGGGGGAGTATCTTAGGAAACCAAACCTAATGTTAATGCCTTGGAAGAAGGACATAAAGTGCAAGCAGCAGGCGAGTGTCTTAAAGAGAGATTTAGAAGACTGAGTGGGGAGGACCATTTTGATTCTATGGTTTGTTTCAGTCAGCTGTGCTCAGACATAAATGAGAGGGGAGAAAAGGCGAGGATGTCATGATTTGATATCAGCTGACCCCCAGCACTGCTGGCTGAGCATCCACAACACCAGGAGCAGGCTGAGGTGTGACTAATAGGTGTGCCAGCTGCATGATTTAAGTGGTTTCCACCTGGTATATATAAGTAACCTGCCTCTAAGGGTGTTTAAACTGGTAAGAACTGGTATTTGCTAACACGTAGCAGTGAAAAGCAGGTACTTAAATGCTCTCTGACCTCTCTGGCTGCTCTCTCTCCAGCTTGTACGGCCCCCTCCATGTAGCCACTCCATTCGGTGGCCGTCTCTGTGCCTGCAAAGTACAACTTGCCCACCGGCTCTCTCAGCACTCTGAAGAGCAAAAAAGAGAGAAACAGGAGAGGCTTCAGAGGTTAAACTGGTTTACAGGTTTTAAACACGTTTTATTTTTAATGTATGCACCAGCATTGTACTGACCATTGAGCTTTAGCATGCATTCACTTCATTTAAGAATATTATCTCACCTGAATAAGTGCAATATGGGATTATATAACATAAAGTGAATTTCCTTTGGATTAATCTTCCCACCCCCACTGTGCTCAACGTAAAAGAACCAAAGAAAGGACTTTTTCTTTAACTCTATTTCTTGCAGGACCACCCGGTATGTGAAACAGTTACTCTGTATAAAAAAGCACAATGTTAGGTTTCCAACTCCAGCTTACTTTTCATTGTGAGTGAGAACACATTTGCACATCTGGTGAGGACATTTAGACATGAAATATGGTTCACATGACGATTAACAAGGAGTTTCAGTTTTTCATATGGAGGTTAACAAAACTCTAATAGTGAACATATGCACCAGGATCTGTACAACAAGCAGCTTCGACTAATAAATGAAAGCAGCCGCAATGCATCAGACACACTGGATTGTGTTTTATGTGTGTGTACAGCTATAGAGCAAATGGGCAAATCCTGGGGACACGTCCTGCTGTACTGAAAATGCATTCATTTGTTCACACTCCAATAAAACCCATGAAATGCCGCAAAAAACACTGCAATAACACCATTCAGATGAAATATGAGTTCACAGTATTGCTTGTGTGGTAAACATAATAATCCAACACAAAGTGTTGTGATCTCAGTGAGTCCCCTCTGAAACCGTGCACAGGAAGGCAGGTTCATTTCATGGAGGAGAAGTGACGCTAATTTGCAGAAATAATCACAAATCCTGCTGAAACATACATTAGCCATTAATATCCAGGAGCTGACACATTCAAATAAATTAAGTTAATTGAAATGAAAAGATCACACTTTCATATTTATGTTTATTTTTTTGTGTGTGTACACGTGTGAGAGAGAGACTCACCTGCCAAACTGAGTAAGGATTCCTGGGGGGAAATAGGCTGTGTAGCAGCCTCCAGAGTACTCCTCTTCACACCAGTTCTTCTCCTCATAGTGCACCGGCTGCAGGAAACAAGCAGGCACATGAGCAGTCAGTCAAGTGATTCCACAGTATCCACATGACTGTGTACCACTTTGCACCCAAACTCACATGCAAAGCCTCATCTGTGCCCAGCACTTTGGAGTAGATCTCACAGATCCTCCTCAACCTAAACACAACAACACAGGAGTTGGGATTAAACTGATCTCACAGCTCGTGAGAGTTTTTTCCATCTCTGTCCACTGGTGTCTACCTTTCTTCCTTGGACAGGCTTGAGAGCTTTCTGCACTTGTGGGCAAGGATGAATCTGGGGGGGGAGTGAAAAGAGAAAACACTACATGAGCATGTGTGGCTGGTTGGATGACTTTATCACTTGTGTTTAGCTCCATTCAAGCACAAGTCCTACACTGTATGGAAATTCTTGTAGGAGCTCATGCGAGAATACTAGGTCAGAGTCAGATGGTAAAGCTGAGACACAAGCCTACAGGCCAGTCAGTAACCCTCTGATAATCACTAGTGAACGAAATGTGTATTTCAACCTGACTAAAGCATGGTGCAGCATTGTATACTTCTTTGGGGCTGCTGATATCACTTAGCATTTCGGTGCTTTATTTCCCCTGAGATGTCGTACACTTTGGATTCTAGCCAATCATTTTACCTTTCCAAGCGTAGTAGGCGGGCCCAGGTACGTACGTTCTTTTAGAGCAGAGCTACAGATTAAAATGCCCAAGGCGAAGCGGTCAAAAGTCTGGCTGTACTTCACAGCAAAAGATGCAAACTCAGCAGCAACAAGTGCTTTAAGGTGATACTGTGCAAAGGAGGTAACACCTCGAATCTGATGAAACACCTGGCGACGCATAGTATTTTTTTAAAGTCGAGAAATGCGCCGTATTTGATAGCTTGCTGCGAGACCTCACACCGAGCACATCTACTGCGGGTTGTTATCGGACCCGGAGTTAGCAACATCCCCCAAGAACCCGAAGAGGAGAGTCCTGGCCCCTAGCCCTGCCAGTGCAGCAGAAATGATGACGGATAATGATGCAGCAGCAGCCGTTCTTCTCTGCGTGAGTAGCTTAATGTTGTTCATGTGTAATTTACGTTGAGTACGCTAACCACGTTATTACATTAACGCATTTAAGGTGAACTAGCAAACACCGTCGTAGTTACATGAGGCTGTCTTCTTGTTTGATGGCAGATACTCCCTTCACCCTGGCCAAAAAGGCTAAAATGACCAAAGAAAAAGAGGGAAACAGCTAAACATGAGAGGTTTTTGGACAAAGTGTGTGTTCTTCATTCTTTAAGCACCGGTTCGAGCACCGTTTAAGCACCGGCACCGTTTCAAAAGTACCGGTTTGGTACTGGTATCGGATAAAACCTAAACGATACCCATCCCTAATCATAATACAAAATATACACAATTACAGAGAACTGTTTGAAGCTCTGTACCAACCCCATAATACAAGGTACAGTCCCATCAGGCTTTGTGTCATCCAGGGTGAGACCGATGGGAGCACCCTCCTCCTCTATCACCATGCTGCCGCAGTAACCTGGTAACACAATAAAACGTTAGAAATGGCATCATCTTGAACAGCATTCGCTCTCTCTGTGTTTTCACTTCCTGCGTACCCTTTTTCCTCCAGAAGTTCTCTCTGTAGTAGACCATGCACTTTATGACAGAGCCCATGGGAACACGGTTGATCAGCTGGTTCCTCAGTGGGGGCAGCTCAGGGTTGAAGTGCATCTTCAGATTCAAAGCAGGTGGTGTGGCCACGATCACATACTTGGCCTAACACAGAGACAGAGACAGTACACAGTGCGTACCAATAGTCTGTTTATAACTGAAAGATGTGACCCAGAAGTATCTGCATGGTAGTCATCAGCCATAGTAAGAGATGTTGCAATTCTCCAAATACTAAGGAAAGAGGCTTCAGTGCTTCCTTTAATATAGGATACACTGGACTATCCTTTATGAAAAGAGGGGAGAAAATGCTGTCCCATAATTCATTACAATGGAACATCTGACCATAAATGAAAACATTCAACCTAATCAACAAAGTAACACAGATCATGTACATTTTAACTGCTTTTTTCCAACCAGCCAGTAGATGGCAGCCAAAGAGCAGCAGTGCCAGTGAAGTTTGTGAGTAACACTGTGAAGCAGTTACTGTTTTACAGATACATGGATGTTTCATATTCAGACTGCATTATCTCACATTACCTAGTGTATAAATATAGTATCTGTTTCATTTCCTAATACATAATAAAATCAAACAAACACTATAACAGTTATTTGAAACATGGCTGCAGTAACAGGAAAACAGGAAAAGGAAAGTCCTGCATTCACAATCTACTGAAACATAAGAGCAGCGTCATTATTCATTATCTTATCAGCTCGTTAACGGTGATGTATCCATATAAGCAAAGTCATTCTGACTATTTGTTTTGTGGGCCATTTGAAGGTTAGGAACCACTGGACTGAACTAATCAATTGTGTCTACAAACCCAGTTTCAGAAAGTTGTAACATTGTGTAAACTGTAAATGAAAACAGAATGCAGTGACTTGCCGATCTCAGAAAGCCATCTTTTATTCACTTATACAGAAAAATATCAGAAATCTACTATTATCATTTACAGAAACAAAAAGCTCACTTTGAATTTGATGGCAGTGACATGTCTCAAAGTGACACGACCAGCGATAAAAAGAGCATCTCAGAGATGCTCTGCAAAAACCCCCAAAACTGTGTCTACAAACTGTGGAGCAATTTCAGAAAAATGTTCCTCAACATCAAACTGAAAAGAATAATATCATCAAAACATTCCAAGAATCTGGAGGAATTTCTGTGTGCAAAGGATAAGGCTGAAAATCAATAATGGATGCCCATGACCTTTGGGCCCTGCTGCATCACTGCACTAAAGCAGGCATGATTGTCATGAAATCACTGGGAGGGCTCGGGAACACTTCTGGAAATCACTGTCTATGAACACTGTACTGTTCACAAATACAGGTTAAAGCTCTATCATGTGAACATGATGGTGAAACACCGCCATCATTTCTGGGCCAAAGCTCATTTTAAACAGACTGAGGCAAAGTGGAAACTGTTCTGTGGTCAGAGATTCCCTGAGCGCATTTCCTCTATTTTCCTCTCTTTACTTTATTCTCACTGTGGCCAAGATCTGCTCAAAGGTGGAATACTTAGGTTTCTCTCCATCTTGTTGTAATCTCTGAGATCATCTGGTGCTAGATACAGTTAATAAACATTAATCGACTTCAAATGCTCATTTCCAGCTCAATATTATATTTCTGACTAAAGCAGAATATGTAAGGAAAGACATAAAAAGTGTCCTTAAAGAATAGTACTTCAAAGGAAATACTGGTGATATACTCAACTCACCTTGTAGGTCTGCTTGTCCACGGTCTCCACCACAACCATGTCTCCGGTCTGGTCGATCCTGTAGACTGGAGACTGCAGCTTCACTCGGTCTCCCAGCTCCCTCGCCATGCACTGACTCACCTGATTCGCACCCCCTACAAACTTCCTCTCCTTGAGACACAAAGAGAGCAGAGTTCAGTGAGCACCAACAGGGAGAGCAGATGCAGCAACACTGGTTTCTATTTATATTGGGTGGAAGTGACTCTGATCCCCCTCTGGGTACCCCTCAGCAAGGCTAATAAACTCCCAGTTTGGAATGAAGCCGATAAAATCCCCTGATTTATCCTGGTGATACACACCGGTTATCCTCAGTCCGCCTTCATTTCCTTCACTACAAATTTCTGCATCTTAATTCAAAAGAAACACGTTCATAAAGCCAGGCCAGCAAATGTTAAATGATGAAGATGACAGTGAGGAGGTAGAGAGGTTTGGGCTGTCAAAGCTCCGATACACAAAACCATTTCCATGTGGTTAGTGTCAACATCTCTCTCATCCCTGACCAGAAACACATTGTGTGCATTCCTCTGTGGCATTTGGATGAATTTGTCAAGCAGTCGCTGTGAAAGCACGAGCTACACCTGAATCAGTCCTGGGCGGTGAAACGAGGTGAGCCTCTTCTTGTCTTGTTTGATTAAAGACACATTTGCAGTTTTGCAGGAGGAGTGCAGCTGCACTCGAAGCAATGCATACCAATAGCATATCCATATGTTTAAGATGACTATGCGTAAATACTTCAAACACCCCTATGTATGCACCATCCACAAGGTGTGTAAGCTTTAAATGTGGAGCAAACAGGAAGGAGCCGACTGCACTACTGTTTGTCATTTGTTTACCAAAGCCTTTGTGGCTATGGGAACAAGGCCCTCAGCTTGAGGAACGGCAGCAGAAAAGACGCCCTGAGTATTCCAAGAAAACATCTTTTGTGTGGACAGCATCTTATTCAGGCCAGACTAAGGAGACTGGGCTGTGAGGGATCTCCCTCTGACGTTCACACTGCTCCTCTGAATCACTGAATGAATCTGTGTGAGAGGCAGAGAACGCAAGTCCACTTCTTGGCACGCCGAGAGAATATTCTGTTTGTTCAGACAGATATACAAAAAAACGAATTCTTTCAGTCTGTTGTTCTGAATCAGTAGGTATAATTTTGGGCAGACATACCTGTCCTCCATTGGTGGTGGAGAAGATCCTCATTGTCCCTCCGCACTGTTTGACGTACCAGAGGAACCAGAGAGCCGACACCTCGTGGGGTTCAGAGGTCACGTTTACGTTGACAAACAGTGTGGCGAAGCGACGAGCAGTTCTGGGAGGGATTACATGGAAGGTAAGAAGTCTTTAAATACTGCAGGTACCCCAGTCACAATTTTTATATTCTGTAAGAGTGTGAACAAAGCACAAATAAATCACCATGTCAGAGATTTCTGCTTGCTTGTCCTACTTTTCCAGCAGAGACTTGCACATAATCTACATTTGAGCAGTTTCAAAGTTGAACTAAAGTTTTATTTTAGTTTAATATAGGATACATTACAGGATTAATTCAAACGCTGGAGCAGTACAATCATTTAATTAGTGAAGGACTGTTATTTCTATGTTGTTACAAAAATGTAATTTACTTTTTACAAGCTGCATATTTTAAATTTACACAGTAATTAGATTATCAAAAACATTCTCACTCACAGTGCATCATATACTGAAGCTTCTCCACCAAAAACCTCTATGAAACAGCTACAACCTTCAGCATCCGTTTTCAAAGTTTTTGCAGGGATGAGAATTCTTATTCTTATTAGTGCTGACACAGGAAGCTGTAACCATTTCCACCTCTGCAAATTTGAGTCACTGAACTGGACCTCTTAACTGTGACTGTGGTGTTGGAGCCTTTTAGATCATTTTATTGGAAATAGCATGATGTGCTCTTTGGTTAATTCTACTTCCAGCTCTGGTGAGTGGAATTGTGCAGAATGCTGCATCCATGCACCCTATGAGATACCTTGCTAACTGAGCTCGCTACCATTAGCTTATAACTTTAGCATTAGCTTTAGATTTAGCAATACAACTTTACCCTGGATATAAACGTTCAGAGATAACAGGATGAATAGCTAGACCTATTCTCTGCACAAACGGGAAACATTTTGAACATGTTACCTGGTCCAGCAGAGTTTTTCAAAGAGTTCCTGCATGGTCATCTTGTCCCACTCCTCAGCATGGGGAGCTCTCCAGGGAGCGTCTCTGGGAATCTGAAATGCAGGAGGGTGTTCAGCATGAGTCAGGCATGTAGCAGGTGTGCAACCTGTCCAGTAAACCAATCTAGAATGCTTATTAATAAGAATACTCATTAATAGTGAGAACTGCTTTACCTCCTCGCCCATCTTATCCATTGTTCTAAAGAGGTTGTTGAAGTCCATCAAAGCGATGGGGTTCCACATGGGAGGCAAGGAGCCTTTGAACGGGTAAGACTTTCCCTGTTGGACACATGATTGCGGCCATCATCACCAAAACAATATTCTTCAATCATCAAATAACCATTGCTTATAAAAGCTGTGCTTAATGATGGCAGCATTCAAAGAACAACATTTCAGCATTTGCCATTAAAGATTTGTTTCAGTTGACCTCTAACTGACCGTGAAAGCAGTTTGAAGAGTGGTGGAGAAAGTGGAGTAATAGCTTGTGCAATGTTTACAACTGAATCAGAGATACTGAATCATTAAATGTGATAAGAGTAGCCATAATCTAAAGCCATAATTTTTATGCCTGGTCTAGTTTATTTCTGCATTTCTCAATCACACACAAAGACATACAAACACAGAGGTGACAGTCAGGGGTAGATGCAGTGGTTTCAAAACTATCAAGGTCACTTATTTGTGTTTTGGTTTCCAAAACACAATTGTAACTAGAGATGAATTTTTGTTGCTTTCTAGCAATGGTCTCTTAGCTACGTGTTGATGTAACCTCAAATAATCTCTCCCGTAATATGGCATTTAGCTTGACAAGGACATTTATTTCAAGTCCCACTAAACACAAACTGTTGAAATTCCCTCAGCCTCACAGAGCTGCTAGCTCAGAGACACTGCAGCTGTCTGCAGCTGTATTGAATTAATAATGGCTCCTATTATTTACATTCTCTTAACTTATTGTGTTGTGTAAGGTGATACCACTGTAATAAAGGAAAAAAACAAAACAAATATCAAAAGTGTTTAGTTGTTCATTTCATTGTCCAACAATGCAGCTGTAACTGTCCAGCTGTTATGTAGCCCTAAAATCTTCTTGTCACAGTTAAAGGTAAATCCGTTACTGAGCTAGTCTAATGTCAAATATAGCAATATTTCTTTTTTTCTCCTTGCAAAACTCTCTCAGTATCATTGAAAATCATTATTGATGCATAAATATTACAGAAACAGAAATGTGTAACCTCTTAAACTACAAGACTCAACTGTAGTGGCATCACCAAAAAGTATGATTATGCTAAGAAAAAACAAATCTGTTAGATTAGCATAAAAAAGTACATGGGTAAGCACAATAAAGTGTTTCCTAAGGGGTAATTATAAGAAATAAGACTTTTAATTATATTATCTATAGCAAGGGTTCTGAAATTTAGATGGACGGTTGCAAAGGAAAAATGTACAAAATTAAGAAAAAAAAAGAAAGGCAAATTGTTCTCATACTGTCCCACAGCATGGCAAATTCGGTATCAACAAATTCTGTCATTTTCACTGGAGAGCCACAGAAAACAATTGAACATTCTTTGAGAACCTTAGATCAATAATAAGTTCACACATTTCTCAGATCAGACTCCTCAAAAACAATGAAAGAGAAGACTTCTGTTGAATAAAAATAGCACAGAAAAGTGTTGTGTGACTTTCACTGCTTAAAACATGTAAAAGCAGCTGCACAATCATTTGTGATATTACTAGATTTAGCCATTTACTGAAATAAAATGATCACCTGTTTGTTTGTTTTTAAAGTGTGTGTGTGTGTGTGTGTGTGTGTGTGTGTGTGTGTGTGTGTGTGTGTGTGTGTGTGTGTGACTGCAAGGTGACAGCACCTTTGTTTTTTAGTATTCACAGTCTGTTCTTCACTGCTACACAGAATTCAGTGATAGACAGAGAGGGATGATGATGATGATGTGTCTCATTGCAGCATACTGTCTCTGCTTCTGTGCACAGAACAACAGGTCTGTCTCCATGGTGACCACGGCCAAGAGAATACAGAGGGAGGAGAGAAGAGGAGGGGGAGATGAAGCATGGCAACATCTGTTTCCACATCAGCGAGCAGGGAAGTGTCCTCAATCAGAGGACCAAACGAAGACTGCTTGAAGACAAAGATGACTGTACTTCAGAGTAGGAGGATTTTATTACAACCATATAAAGATAAAGATTTCAATTAATCTCAGAAATCGCTAATCACTGCCCTTGGACTTTTATCCAAATTACATTGTACGCTCTTATCTGACTTCTAAACAAACATCTATGATCAATAAATATTTTATTGCCCAACGTAATATACAGTACTGGGAAAAATGTTTGCTCTTCTTGATTTCTTATTTTTTAAACTACATTTAGTTTTAAAATTTAGTAAATTATTAAATGATTAGATTAACTAATCATTTCATTTAATAAGGGAAAAAAGCTACACAAACCTACCATGTCCTATTTGAAAAAGTAGTTGCCCTCCCTTGTTAAATTGTGAATTTACTTTGATCAGCCACATTTTTTGGAAAGCTGACCTTTGAAAAGTTCACTTTCAACTAGCCACACTAATCCAGAAATCACTTAAATATAACCTGTCTGACAAAGTGAAGTAAGCTAAGCAACACGTCATGCCTTGATCTATAGAAACGCAAAAAAACAGCTGAAAGACAAAGCCAATAACATCCATCAGTCTGGAAAACCTTTTCTAAGACTAAACCAAGTGGGGAGCTGTTATTCAAAAATTGAGAAAACTTTCTAGGAGTGGCCAGTGACCAAAATGACTCCAGGAGTGCATCAATGACTCGTCCAGGAGGTCACAAAAGCACCCAGAACAACATCTCAAGAACTGCAGGCCTCACCTGCCTCAGTTAAGGTGTTCATGATTTATCCAGTAAGAACTACATAAGGCAAAAATGGTCTCGATGGGAGAGTTTCATAGCAAAACCCACTGTTGACCAAAAAGAATATAAAGGCTCGTCTCATATTTGCCAAAAAACACCAGAAAAACAGATTTGATTTGGTTGCAAAATAATGCAACTCCAAATAATATATCTGAATATGTCAAAGTGTGTCTAAAAATGACAAACTGGTGTATCAGATGGCTGTTCCCTCTGCTTTTTGCCAGCTCTCACAAGCTGGTGGCTTCTTAGTGAATGTGCAGCACTTGGCATTCTCTAAAAGCAAGCTAAACAGACACAGCTGGTACGGCCGTTTCCCTCACTGGTCTTGTGAACGTGCAAACATGCACAGCATCCAAAGTGCTGCAGGATCCAAGGGACAATCCCGGACTCTTTCTCAATCTCTGATAAGCAAGCACAGTATTTAATCAAAGTCTGTTTCCCCGTCTCTGATAGTGATCCCTCATTAATGAATCCAGTGCTGAGAGCTGCATTTGCCTGTTAGGCGGTGGTTTGCTGATAAGGGAAAGCAGTACTGGCCTTTTGGATTACAATCTGCCATAGAAAAGCTGATTAGCTACATGGCTTGCTTGAAAGCTAGCTGTAATTACACAATGGCTTGGGACACATGCTGATTTACAATTACTCTAGCTTTTGTTCTGTGAAGAAATGTAGAGGGTGTCAAATGGGTTAGATCACTGCTTACTGTTCATATAAAGTCTTATTGACTTGTGTCACCATGTGAAACTATGAGTTTATTCTTTTGAATTTCTTCTTTTGTAATTCAAAGCTACTGACAAACAAAAAGGTGTAGTAAAACACTAACACACACACGATAAAAATATAGGTAATAAAGACTGATTGCTGTGAACTGCCGATGCAGGGATTGGTTCTCAGGTGTAAGATAATAAATCATATCAAAACACCACCTCTGAAGCCAGTCTAAAGATTTCTTGTATTTCTATCTTGCAGGGCATTCATTATTGGCCAACATAAAATGCAAACAGTTTTACAATATCTAATGGTTTCCAAAACCCTGACATTTTCTCTGAAAGGCCCCATTTGAATAGCTACTAGAGTTTTGAGTTTGCTTATCACTGTAATTATTATAGCATTCTAAGACTTCCTTTACTTCACCTTAATATAGGTTGTTTCTTTCTGCTTAATAAGTTCTACCTTGAACAGCTGGGATAGGCTCCAGCGACCCCGTGACCCTGAAAAGGATAAGCGGAAGCGAATGGATGGATGGAAGTTCTGGCTTGAGAGCCTTTCATTTGGGTCTTTTCGCCACACCCATAACAGGGTAGCCAAAGCCATAGTAGCCACTTCCATCACAGCTTAATGGTAAGCTCAGTCCACCAGCTGGTAAAAGGGAAATAATGTGAGCATCCCATCCCATTTTTAGTGCTTTAAAAAGGCATTAGTTACAGCTACGAGGAGATGCAAAAATGGAGAGAAGAGAAGGAGCAAGACTCTTAACTTCCATCTTGGACCACTGTAACACTTGTTGGTGTGTGAACGTGTGTATCAGTGTAAGCTGTGAGAGCAGTAACACTAGAATATGCATACACAAAAGCACAAACATGTGCACACACAGAGCACATACACACTGCCTGACAGTGATAGGTGGGAGCTGCTTTTGATGAGGCATGCTGCCATGGAAACCAGCCAGGAAGCTACGAGTGGCGTGTGTGAGTCTGAGTCTTCGAGTGGATCTTACAGAGATAGTAGCTAGGGAGACACAGTCACATGGGAGCTCCCATACACCAGAATGGATTCATTTAGGGTTCACATAACATGCCACAACAGCAGAAATAGAGAAATGTGTTTTCTAACTGCTGTCTGTGTTATGCTGGTGATATTTCGCAGCGCTGTTGTAAGTAGGTTAAGTCAATAATACATCAGTGCTAGGGACAGGGTGGTGAAGATCACGAAACCATGCTTCATTGTCAATCAGTCGCTAAATAAATGGACTAAACAAAAACCACAGAGAGCACACAGTGTTCTTGATCAATATGTTACCCAAGTAATCATAGCACAGAAGACTTCTCGTCTTTTCCTGTGCCTGGATGTTTTAAATTCAACAAGGAAAACACAGGGTGGCTTTTTTAAATGCAGCCAAGTGAGATCTAGAGCAGGGGTAGGCAACCATTCTGATGGCGAGTGCCATTTAAAATTTCCTCAGAGGTCATTTCGCCATATGATTGCATTAGCAGTAAATTTAATAACGCTCTATATGAACAGTTACACACTACATAGAACCACTTTGTAGAATTATATTTGTTCGCAGATGTTGGCAGCTATCAGCGAATAGTTATCAGCTATTTTGAAACAAAAAAAAGACACTTTTTATCCATAACACCAAATGAACTGTAC